AATGGTTTCACCTTCACACAAATAGTATTTGGTAACTTGAAAGAAGCCCAAACTCTGGTTTTCAAGTAGGAGAGTGCTAGTTTTTGCTTTTGGCTTTGGCTTTTTAGCAGCAAGACAAATGATTAAAAATGGCAATTTGAGAAGCATTTTGTAATATTCTTTAAAATTAGAAGTAAAAATATATCCCACCACTCAGTCCTCTTCTTCACATCTCTGACTGATAATGAAAAGATACCGGATCAATGGCATCAATAACTAAATAAATGGGAAACAAAATGTCAGTTTCAGGAATAGATTTTAAGAAGGGCCCATTAGGATACAATTCAGGCTTCTGTAAGAGCTTGATGGGATAACATGACTCAGACCTGAAGCTGCAGAACAAGACAGAATGGTATGTTCTGATCTATGCAGAGGTCCTAGCCAGGTGTCTCAAGAGTAGTACAGGAATCCAACCAAGAGAGGATGATGAGGGTCCCTGCTATCCTGTCAATAACCAGACTCCTCCTAAGACGTGGTGTATGGGCAAAAGGAGCAATTGAAGCTCCTTCCTCGGCCTTTTGAGAGCCACCATATTTCTCGAGGAAGGTGCTATTGGCCTTTTGGGTAGGAACATTCCTTGTCATGCTGAGATTGACAGAAATCACCTCCTCTATGGACCAACGCAGAAACATGAGTTTTTCTCCATGGCAGATTGAAAGCTTTGGGTCTCCTGAGTGGTTATGATAGGACAGAAAACACATATTCAGCAGATAAAAATAAAGATGCTTGTATTTTTTAACTATCCCATCAGGATTTCCAGGGGTAAAAATACTTGTAACACCTTTGCAGATATTTGAAAACATGGCTATATATTTGGATGAGTGATTTTGTACTGTAATGCAAAAGAAAACCTATCTCATCAGTCACTCCCCACAAAAATCATTCTAGTAATGATTAATAGTAAGTTAATAGTAAGTTCAAGATGTCAACTTCAGAGAGCACGTTATTTTAAGTGAAAAATCTAAGACAAACTGTATACCTGGTTTCATTAAGTATAATTTCTATCAGTTGACTGGGTATTTATGGTACTACATCAAAATCAAAAACAAAAACCTCTCAGAATAAAAAACCCCCTCTCTTCAACATAGAAAATATTTAGGTATAAAATATCAATTATAATTATCAGACAAAAGAAAAGTGTCATTTCAGTTTTGGGCTGTCCAAATTAAAAACGATGTTTCAGTGCTGCAGTGAACATACATGTGCATGTGTCTTTATAATAGAATGATTTATAATCCTTTGGGTGTATACCCAGTAATGGGATTGCTGGGTCAAATGGAATTTCTATTTCTAGATCCTTGAGGAATTGCCACATTGTCTTCCACAATGATTGAACTAATTTACACTCCCACCAGCAGTGTAAAAGTGTTCCTGTTTCTCCACATCCTCTCCAGCATCTGTTGTCTCCAGATTTTTTAATGATAGCCATTCTAACCGGCGTGAGATGGTATCTCAATGTGGTTTTGATTTGCATTTCTCTAATGACCAGTGATGATGAGCATTTTTTTCATGTTTGTTGGCCCCATAAATGTCTTCTTTTGTAAAGTGTCTGTTCATATCCTTTGCCCACTTTTTGATGGGGTTGTTTTGTTCTTGTAAATCTGCTTTAGTTCTATGTAGATTCTGGATATTAGCCCTCTGTCAGATGGGTAGCTTGCAAAAATTTTTCCCCCTTCTATTGGTTGCCAGTTAACTCTAATGATTGTTTCTTTTGCTGTGCAGAAGTTATTAAGTTTAATTAGATCCCATTTGTCTATTTTGGCTTTTGTTGCCATTGCTTTTGGTGTTTTAGTCGTGAAGTCTTGCCTATGCCTATGTCCTGAATGGTGTTGCCTAGGTTTTCTTCTAGGATTTTTATGGTGTTAGGTCTTATGTTTAAATCTTTAATCCATCTGGAGTTAATTTTTGTGTAAGGTGTAAGGAAGGAATCCAGTTTCAGCTTTCTGCACATGACTAGCCAGTTTTCCCAACACCATTTATTAAACAGGGAATCCCTTCCTGCTTGTTTTTGTCAGGTTTGCAAAGATCAATGATTGTAGATGTGTGGCATTACTTCTGAGGCCTCTGTTCTGTTCCATTGGTCTATATGTCTGTTTTGGTAGCAGTACCATGCTGCTTTGATTACTGTAACCTTGTAGTATGGTTTGAAATCAGGAAGCATGATGCCTCCAACTTTGCTCTTTTTGCTTAGGATTGTCTTGGCTATGCAGGCTTTTTTTGGTTCCATATGAAATTTAAGTTGGTTTTTTCCAGTTCTGTGAAGAAGGTCAAAGACCTGGAACCAACCCAAATGCCCATCAATGATAGACTGGATAAAGAAAATGTAGCACATATACACCACAGAATACTATGCAGCCATAAAAAAGGATGAGTCATGTCCTTTGCAGGGACATGGATGAATCTGGAAACCATCATTCTCAGCAAACTGACACAAGAACAGAAAACCAAATACTGCATGTTCTCACTCATAGGTGGGTGTTGAACAGTGAGAACACATGGACACAGGGAGGGAACATCACCCACTAGGGTCTGTTGAGGGATGGGGGCTAGGGGAGAGACAGCAGGCAGGTGGGGAGGTTGGGGAGGGATAACATTGGGAGAAATGCCTGATGTAGGTGACAGGGGATAGAGGCAGCAAACCACCATGGCATGTGTATATCTATGTAACAATCCTGCAAGATCTGCACCTGTGCCCAGAACTTAAAGTAACATTTAAAAAAATGATGTTTCAAATCAGAAATATACTCTTTATTATTAAAGTTCTATTGCAACGCCACAGATATTAGGGGCAGCTAGGAAAACCAAAATAAAGTTCAGTGTTCTGATATTTATAAGATGATACTGGTTCCCTACAGAATAATTTCTTGCCCCTACCCCTTCTCCCTGCCTCCAAAATATCCTATGATGTCTCTGAAATATTAGGCAATTGTTGCTGGACTGGTTTATCTCCATAGAAATGACTGAGTCACTGTGAATAAGTATGATTCACACAGAATGAAACATAGTAATGACTCCCTCTCTGCTCTTAGCTTGGGAGATACATGGCAGGGATGGGAATGGGTGGAATTGAGAATGATCACCAGGGACCTACTTATGTGCCAAGTTCTATGCTAAATATTCTGTATATGTTTTCTAACAAGCCCATCCTGTGTTGGAGGGAATTACTAACAACTGATGAGTGAATTCTAACTGCTACAGAGATTCCTCCTCAAGGTACATAGAGATTCTGCTGTGAGAAGCATCTTCATTCCAGATCAACACTACCAGTGTCTGAGCTTAGGAGTGACTAGCTGCCTGGCTCAGCTGAAAACCTCTGTCCAGCACATGTCAAAGGTTTGACCAACTAGCATGTGACTTCAGTTACTTTGAAAAAATATCCCCCATTTGAGGTGTCCCTGTGCACCCACCATGTAAATTGTATAAATGCTATTTGGCCTAAATTATAATGAAACCATTTAGGATATCCCATCAAATCTGTTGAAAACCCATAGAGCTGTTACATGAAATAAGGCATAAACAGAGAGTAACTGGTTTTGTTCACACACATTTTACATAATCCTTAGGGTTACAAAGAATCTCATAACTATAAGGTAGATTAAAAACTCAACACTCCTAAAAATCAAGTAACTCTCAAGATCACACAGAGCAAGTCCTAGCTTGCCCCAGCTCTACAGCCAAGTTGAAATGAGCTTTATTTGTGGCAGCCTTCAGGTCAAAATTTCACCAAAAAATTCAGAGTAAAGCAGTCACCCAGGTTTCAGGTGAAGCTATGATAAGAATGCTTCACTTGGTTACTTAAGATGAGGATATTCTTCCCTATCCCAAGAATATGATTTATGAAATGTTTTGAAACTGTGGGCTACAAAGTACTGTGCTACATTTAGGATATAGCCTAATTCTTTTTTTTTTTTTTTTTTTTTTTTTTATTTGAGATGGAATTTTGCTCGTTACCCAGTCCAGTGCAATGGCAGGATCTCGGCTCACCGCAACCTCCGCCTCCCGGGTTCAAGCAATTCTCCTGCCTCAGCCTCCCGAGTAGCTGGGACTACAGGCGTGCACCACCATGCCCAGCTAATTTTTGGGTTTTTAGTAGAGACAGGGTTTCACCTTGTTGACCAGGATGGTCTCGATCTCTTGACCTCGTGATTCACCCACCTCGGCCTCCCAAAGTGCCAGGATTATAGGCGTGAGCCACCGCTCCCGGCTTAGCCTAATTCTTTATTAGGACCAGAGTCAATAGATGGAATGTTACATTGTGCCATTACTCCAGGGTTATCCAGAGTTTTTTGTTTGTTTCTTTGGTTGGTTGTTTATCAAGCTCCTATATGGTCCTCCTGAAATAAAATATATAATGATGGTCACTGAATTTTTCCCAATAACAATGTGGCATTAATCATGATGCAGCTAGTCACATAGAAGCAGCACCTGAAAAGATATAACTTGAAAGTCTCAGGAAAATAGCCAGAGAGAATAAATTTCTTCATAAAGGCCACACGTGAATGTGTATACCCCTAAAATTCAATTGTATCCAGAGAGGCTGAGAAATTGAATGTGTGATTATTGTTTATCCCTTTTTCTCATAACTTTACTGTGGGTTTTTCCAAGACTTTATTTTATATAAAAGAAGGAAGAGATTTATATTTGTCCTTGTGTGTAAACCAACATGATCTAAATCAGAGCAGTCTAACTTTTCCTTTGCTAGAGAATATTTCCTTCCAACAAAAGCTCATCCCACAAATGGGCACAAGCCAAATCGTAGCAAAGTGCTCTGGTTGCAGAGGTCCCTTTCCTGAGATCCCTGAATAAGCTCTACAGACCAGAGATGGAAACCCATGCATTTAAATGTGAAATGTGCGGCTTTACAGGGCGGGGTGGGGGTAGGGGAATGTATTCAAAGTCGCATGACAGCTTAGGAAAACTGCTTCGTAAGCTCTAAATATGTCTTAGCAAATTGATCAGATATATACAGAAGTAACAAACATACTACAGAATAAATATATTTTCAACACTCTCACACGCATATATTTATATAGAGAGCAATCTAAACGCATTAGCATTCACGAACACAAAGTTGAATGTTTTTCAGAGCTACAGAAAGGAAAGATCAGTGTCTGCATTCCACAGTAGTTTTTTAAGAGCTGGTTAAGAACTAAGTTCTGGTCATGCTGCCCAAGTTTAACTCTCGACTGTACTTTTTAGCAGCTTCTAAGGATCAGGGTTTTTTCCACCAATAAGCCAAGTCTCACAATCGAATGTACTTGCTGGGACATAATGAGGATTAAATGAGATAATATATGCTAACCAGATAGAGCAGGACCTGACACTTAGCAAGATTTCAGTGAATATCAATGATTACTCTTAAAATAATATTAAAATGAGCTCTTGTATTTCCCCATAAGTATTTATTTCCTTTTTCTGTCCAAACATCTCTTGGCAACTAACAGGTACTTCTTCTATTGACAAATTGTCAATTCCTCAATGACAATTAATGCCAAAAACTGATGGATAAATTATAGAAAATTCATAACTAATAATGAGCCAGATAATTTTTGTGGAAATCTATAATTACTTCAACTCAACAACTGTTCACTGAGTACTGTCTAAGCCCTGCTAAGCCATTGAAGGGATGTGAACATGGCCAGAGTCCAATGCTCTGCCCTCAAGAAGCTTCTCATGCGGCAGAAGAGGAAAGATAAACCTGTTAAAAATAGAGAAAGGGCCGGGCGCTGTGGCTCACGCCTCTAATCCCAGCACTTTGGGAGGCCGAGGTGGGTGGATCACGAGGTCAAGAGATCGAGACCATCCTGGTCAACATGGTGAAACCCCCGTCTCTACTAAAAATACAAAAAATTAGCTGGGCACGGTGGCGCGTGCCTGTAATCCCAGCTACTCAGGAGGCTGAGGCAGGAGAATTGCCTGAACCCAGGAGGCGGAGGTTGCGGTGAACCGAGATCGCGCCATTGCACTCCAGCCTGGGTAACAAGAGTGAAACTCCGTCTCAAAAAAAAAATAGAGAAAGGAAGCTGGGCGTGGTGGCTCACACCTGTAATCCCTGCCTTTTGGGAGACTGAAGTGGGTGGATCACCTGAGGTCAGGAGTTTGAGACCAGCCTGGCGAAACTAAAAATAAAAAATTATCTGGGCATGGTGATGTGCACCTGTAATCCCAGCTACTCGGGACGCTGAGGCAGGAGAATCAGTTGAACCTGGGAAGTGGAGGTTGCAGTGAGCCAAGATCCCACCACTGCACTCCAGCCTGGGCAACAACAAGAACAACAAAAGGAAAAACAATAGAAATGTATTCTCCTACAGCTCTGGAGGCTGGAAGTTGGAAATCGACATGTCAGCTGGGCCATGTTCCTCCGGAGATTCCAGTAGACTCCTTCCTTGACTCTTCTAGCTTCTGCTGGTGGCTGTCAGTCCTTGGCATTTTTGGTTTGCAGCTGTATGACTCCAGGCTCTGTCTCTGTCATCACATGGTCTTCCCCTTGCAGGTCTCTGCCTTACATTATCTTAGGAGGACACTGGTCATATTAGATTAGGGCCCACCCTAAGATGTAATCTTAACTCGATTACATCTGCAAACATGCTATTTTCAAAAAAAAAAGCCACATTCACAGGTATGGGGTTAGGACTTTACTGTAAGTTTTTGCGAGGACATAATTTAACCCATAGCAATAATAAGGGGGTTTGAATAAAGATGGCTTTCTATAGATTGCAAAGTATTAATAAAATACTTTGATAGTGGTCTCTGTTGCTTTTCAGTTAGGAGATATGACCCACAGGGAATATCATGACCAAAGCCACAATCCCTCAGAGAGAGCCTTGTGGGTTTTTGTTTGTTTGTTTCTGTTTTGTCTGTAGAATGAAGCAACTGAAATACAAGACCTTCTAACTTCCATTCTGGATACAAGAATCTGTGATTTATCAAACCTATCACATGCCTGACTAACTCAACATTTATTGTACTTGGCAATTTTGATTTGCAAATATATTTTATTGTTTATAAGTTTGCATTAACCAGACTAGTTTTACTTAGTCTGTGTTGCAGGGGCAGGCCCTTTCTTTCTTTCAATACACATGAGAAACTTCAGTAACCTTCAAAAGCAGTTGCAGTCAAGCTTGGCTCAAAAGGCCAGGCGGGCTATCTGACTGCAGCAAGAACAAATATATCTAGCATTTTTTGTACCTTATATTGTGATCACCTCTTAACATGAAGTGTCTCATTTAATCTTCACGATAATTTGATTGGTTCAGTCTATTATGAGCATCCCGATTTATAAATGAGAAAACTGAGGACTAGAAAGTTTAGATAACTTAACAAGTCACAAAGTTTGTAGTGAAGTGAAGATTCAAACACAGCCAGTCTGACTCTAGATCCCTAGTGTTTTGCTACCTTATTACTCCAAATATGGTCCACGAGCCAGCCAACAGGACTACCTGAAGTCTTGCTAGAAATGCAGAATCCCAGGCTGCACCCCAGACCTACTCCCAAGGGACACATAGGCACACTAAGGACTGAGAAGTGATGCTGTGGTACTCAGGACCAATCCCCCTTTAGGTACTCAGTTGACTCTGCAAAGCAATGAATAAAGACCAGTGACAACACTGGACTATTTTGATGTTCCTTGTTAGTAACTACATTCAAAAGCATCGTGACTAGATGCAAGATATGTCTCTGGTTTTACTCTTGCTCCTTCTTGATCTGCTCTCCATATGGCAGCCAGCACCTTCATAAAATCGAAATCCGATCTCACGGCATCATTCTCGTCAGAGATAGATCCAGGCTTTGTGAGGCTGGAAGCTTATAAAATTGGGGAAGGGAGTTCTAAAAGAAAAAGAACCCCAAAATAAATATAAAGTGAAATACAAAAGTAAATATATAGAAAAGCAACATGCCATTTTTTGTAAATGATCCATTGGACACATTACTAGGATATGTAATTTTTATTTAAATTTCTCACTGCATCCTTTGATTACATCCTAGTATAACACTTTTTTGTGATATCATTTCCTATACAAATAACAAAAAGGTAATTCAATCTTACTTGTAGTGTGGTTGGCTGAAATTTGCTTTGTAATATAGATATTTTCGTACTGATAATTTAACATACAACTTCATGCATGTGCAAACACACAATTCTCACTGCTTATCATGAAAACACAGGAACTCTAAGTTCTATTTTTCACAATTCTTATCTGAAAGGAAAAAAATAGGCATTATAATTGTACTTTGCTATCCTGAAAGATAAGTATAAATAAAGAATAAATCCTCTGCTTAGAATTGTATGCATCTGATGACTAGAATGTTCCATGGACTAGCATCCACCACATATACCTCAAATCTTTTCCTTTCCACCACCTGCTTACTCCCAGGGCTGGGTGCTGAAAGACACACTCATAGTGTAATGCAAACCAATGGTTGTACACCTTCATGTCATAATACTGGGTAAGCCAGCACCTATTATGAGATGGTTAACAACATTAGCCATACACAAAACTGGCTATGAGCCATATAACTGTATTTCACCAAGCCAAGTTAGCTGTATACCATTCAACCTCCTTGGAACCAGATCTAAAAAATGACCATGGCCACTCCAGTGCCACTCCACAAAAGGGAGTGTGATGGAAGGGATGTCAGTATGGAAAAAGAGAGTGGTCCCAAACAGTTGCCAATTTTATAAAACCATGACTTCAAACACATACAAAGCTACAGTTCCTCCCAAGTTTTTTAAAGGACTCATGCAAGTGGGAGGTCCTGAAGCTTAGGCTTCATTAGTTTCATGGTAAATCTGTCTCTAGCTTCTATTTTAAACAAACAAGCAACAATAACAATAAACTTTCACTCTTCATTGACTTACTATTGCTCTTAGGATAAAATTCAACCCCTTTACCCTGGCTGACACCTTCTCCAACCTCATCCATTACCATGTTCCCCTGAGCAAACTACTGTCCAACCCTTCTGACCTCTTCCATTTCTCAAAGGATACGGAGTTCTTTCTCCCTCATGAATTCCTTTCCTTCTGCCCGAAATGCTTGTTTTCTCTCTCTGGTCATGGCAGAATCATTTTCTTCTGAAGGCGATATCACCTCATCCCAGACCCCAGGTGGTGCATTTCATCTCTTCACTATGTTTATTGCTGCCATAGCACCTATCACATTGTGTAACCATCTTGATCATCTCTGTTTCAGTTGTATTATCTGCCTCTTACTGGAATTTATCTCCATCATGGCAGGTCCCTTGTCTTGTTCACCACCTTTATTAGTCAGTTTTCATGCTGCTAAAAAAGACATACCTGAGACTGGGTAATTTATAAAGAAAACGAGGTTTAATGGACTCACAGTTCCATGTGACTGGTGGGGTGGTGGGGGGCTCACAATCATGGCAGAAGGCCAAAGGCACATCTTACATGGTGGCAGACAAGCAAGAATAAGAAGCAAGTGAAAGGGGAAACCTCTTATAAAATCGTCAGCTAGCCTGAGACTTATTCACTAACTTGAGAACAGTATGAAGAAATTGCCCCATGATTCAATTATCTCTCACAGGCTCCCTCCCACAACACATGGGAATTATGGGAGCTACAATTTCAAGATGAGATTTGGGTGCAGACACAGTCAAACCACATCACCGCCATATCATACCCTTTGCTCAGAACAGTGTCTGGAACACAACAGAATTCAATACATATTTGTTGAGTGAATGATTAGTAAATCTGGGATGTCAGAAGAGATGAGTATAAATAAAAATTTAAAACTATGAAATTAAAATAGTGATTCATTACATTTGCCACACCCAGGCTACATTCTTGGCTAAGTAGCTAGAGATTCACTTATTTAATAAGTATTTTTGAGCTTCTAATGTGCATATTACAAAATGCTAGAAAAAATGAAAAACATGCCTCTTGTCCAGTTGGTTGAAGGAAGAGGATGAAGGCCCACAACCTTGCCCCAAATCAGAGCAACTCTGAATAGTCATCCTTGGGTGTCCATGGGGCAGGCTGAGGCCTTTGTTGAGACTTCGACAGAGCCCAGCTTTTCCCTCTGCCTCATTGCGCTTTCTGCCCTCCCTTCCTCATGAATTGGTCCCAAGTGTCTTCCCTAAAAAGCTTCATGCACACTGATCACCACTTCAGAGTTTACTTCCCAGGGAATCCAAACTGCTATCAGTAGGTAGATCCATCATTTGTCAATTCCATTATTGAAGCACTTGATTTTCTTTAAACTGATGTGAGAAACAGATTTTAAGTTCACAATTTGATTCTTTTTTGACAAAGAAAACAATTTCTCTGTAAATGTATCTTGCCTAAGATAGTACTAAATTAATCACAAAGAAGAAAATGGAGAATGATAAGAAGAAAAAATTCAATGCTGAAATATTTTTTATAATGATTTCAAAAAATAGCAAATTTTCACACATTTTAAGGAGAAATACAGACTTTTTTAAAAAGGCACTGGTGAAAGTCATGTTTCACTTGGTCCAAAAATTTTTTTTTTAGTCTTCTACATTCCTGAAACTGATGCCAATACTTCTTTCAAAAGAAACCGGGAAAAACAACCAAATTAATTCTATGTAAGCCAGACATCATCATATAAGAAGAACGTTTGTATTTGTTCAATACAATGTTGGAACTAAATTCAATTGTAGAACACAAGGGATATAAAAATCCAGAATCTGGTCTGCTCAACCCATCAAAGTCATTTCAAAGCTAATTGAAGTGATTTGTCTATGTTGTTACAAATTGTCTGTAAGTTTAAATAGGGCACAATTGGGAATTAGTGCAGTTGATGGGTACTATTGATAAAAGCGTCCCTTACAAAAGCAAGGAGTAATTAAAGAAACACGTATACATAATCAATGTTCAGAAAACCCCAATTCCTTCAAGAGTCATCCATATGCTTTGAATGCAAACCACATAAGGGGTGGTTTTACTCTGGTAAAAATCTTTACAGAGGTCAATTAACATATTTAGGGCATAAGCTGATCACTAGCTGAGGACACAGGGACTATAATTTTTACATGTTCTACTCACAAGAGCCACTGCTGGAGACAGGAAACTGGGTTAATATGAGAACCCTTTGTTGATCATTGGTCTGTGCTAACACTCACTAACCACACTTCATTCTGCAACCCTAAAAGGCAATAGGCATAGTGTTTACAAGCATGCAATTGGAAGCAAAATTAGCTCACATCCTGGCTATCCACTTTCTTCTATCACATAGGATGGCTGTGAGAATTTAGTGAGTTACCATGTAAAAATTCTTGGAACTGTGCCTAGATTATGAAGACATCAGTTGTCCTTGAAAAACAAATCCAATTTTTAAAATTTTACCATTTGAAATGAGTTTCTGTGTTTGTGTCATTTCCCAAGCAGGATGATCCCTCAGCATTACTCCTGGTAAAGTTAACTGGGACAGCCTGGTTGTCTCACAGTGGAATTAAGGAACCCAAGGGCCAGCCATCAGGCACTGGCCTGGCTCAACAGACAACCCAGCTCTTTATATCTTACAGCAATAAACATTCCAGAGTATCATTTCTGGAGGCACAATGGAATAAATACATTGAATGAGCCTCTGGAGGAGAATAACAAAGACAGCTGGATAAAATATTAAAACTGTTTCTTTAAAGGCACTTTGGAGCTATCAAGAAAGGAGGAAATGCTCAGAGGCTTAATAAAAAACGAGAATGCTTTAACAGGACCTGGGTCCAAATCTATCCTCTGCTGGTGGCATCTGCCCAGCTCTAATACATTGGAGCCTCCAGAAGCACCGGAGACCAAAAGAAAGACTTGGCCTGGACCAAGCTGTCTGCAGGGCTGGATCAGCACTTACTCACCTGTTTCAGGTATAGCATTTAAGGGAGCACCAAAAAACCCTGAACTTGAGATAAAAAATATTTTAATGTGATAGTTTTAAAAATCAAAACTAACACAAAAAAAATGCATGATAAACAAAATAGCAAAACTGTAAACAAAGATAAACTGTTGCTATTTATTTGATTTGCAACCCAGCCAAGGACAGTAAAAGTATGAGTCAATGTCATTCATGAAAACAAATATATCAACACATTATCAATTTCATGGAGAAAAAACATCTTTCCAAAGATGCACACACATCATTAAATAATGTCCATTTGTGACAAAATCTCTTTACAAACTAGTAATAAGAGGACTTTCATATTGTTATGAAGGATATATACAAAATACCCACACCAAGAATGGCAGTTAATGGTAAAATGTTAAATAACTCCCTTCAATATCAAGACCAAGGCAAATTGTACACCATAGTTGGCTTTATTCAGCGTTGTACAGGAGACATCAGCTAATGCTGTAGTACAAGATAAAGAAATAAAAGGTGTAAAATATAGAAGAGATAATAAGCAAAGCTCATTATTACCAGATAATATCATTTGTATGCCCCAAATAATCAAAGAACCAACAGGTAAATATTAAGATTAATAAATGTGTTTATCAAATTTCCAAGATTAAAACTAACACACATTACTTAAGATAATCTTATTTGTTGTGATACATCTCAGTGGCTTAACAAAAGAATTTGTTTCTCAGTAGGTGAAGCTAATTTAATGGGAAATAGGTAAGAGATGGGGCTCTACTCTATCAAGTCACTTGTGGGCCCATTGATGGAGACGCCATCCTATTCAACTTGTGACTTACAAAGTTGTGAACATACAACAACATACAGGGAAAGAGAGACTGGGGAGTTGTAAAGGAGGCTCTTATGAGCCAGATAGCATACCTAGGAATTACTATGACAAAATATGTGCAAGTGCTTTTTGAGAAAATTTTCACCTTTTTTGTAAGATCTTAATAAGCAGAGAGATATTCCATGTGCCCAAATGGGAAATAAAACAAGATGTCACATCTTCCCATATTAATCTATAGCTTTAATGCAATTGAATCAAAATGCTAAAAGCATTGTTTATGGTACCTGGAAAACTAATTCTAAAATGTATATGGAAAAGCAAAGCACTAGGAACAGCCAAAACACTCTCAAAGGAAAATAAGGTAAAGGGCCCTCCCTACCCCTAGCAGGACTAATTCTCAAACTGTAGTAACTAAGGTAGTGTGGAACTGATATAGTGTTAGACAAGGCAGACCAATGGAACAAAACAGAAAAGCCAGAAATAGTCCATACTTAAAAAAAGAAAAAGGAAAAAAAACTTGACTCATGACAAAGTGACAGACAGGCGTTGAAGATCATTAGGGGCAGGGGAACTATGCAAAAAAATGCTAGTGGGGAATTTGGTTATGTCATGGATTTTTAAATTCAGATTAAACCCCTACATCCACCATACATAAAAATCATCTATTCAAATTAGATAAAAATATTTCATTGTGAAGGGCAAAATGATGCATTTTTGAGAAGACAGTGCATAAGAATATATCTCCCATTTTTGGGGGAGGGGAAGATATATGAAATGTTTTTATAAAGCTCAGAATCTTAGAGGAAACGATTAACAAATTCAATTTCTTTTATATTAAGAAATTCTACTTGTCTGAGGGCTCTAAAGGAAGATGAGAAAACAAACTAAAAGAAGATACTTGATACACATATGTGAGATAAAAATTAGTATTTGAATACGTTAAGAACTCCTACAAATCAATATAAAGAGACAAATAACCCAATATAAAAATGAGTAAAAGATATGAACAGGCATTTCATAGAAGAGGAAACATAAATGGCCCCAAAACGTGGAAAATTCTCCATTAGTAAACAGGGAAATACAATTTAAAACCACAATGAGGTATCATTTCACACGTATTAGGTCAGCAAAAAATTTACACATTGAACAAAATGTAGTGTTTGGAGTTTAAATTGGTATCATCACTTTAGAAAACTATTATGTGTTACCTGGTAAAACTGAATATGTGTATCAGTGAAAGGTTGAAGTAAAGATCTAAGCCCAAACTTACCGGTGACAACAGCAGCCAGGGGTGTGACAGAATCTCTCTATATCAGTCAGTCACACCAATGTCCCAGTTTAATGTCTTCATATCTGGGAAGAGAAGTGGGTTTGAGGTAAGAGTGCCCAGGCACCAGTCCTGTCTCCCACTGCTTACTAACTGTGAGCCTTTGGCAAGACCCTTAACTTCTCTGTGTCTCAGTTTTACCATCTGTAAATGAGGACAAGATTGAACACTTAGTGAGTGCTATCATAATGATGTATTCTGTGAAAATTTCACTGGAGATGAGGATGAAAGTATAAGAAACTGGGGGTGGCCCAGCTTGGAACATCACCAACTCAGGACACTTGGTTGATATCCCTTAATATTCAGACTTACCATCTCCTCAGGACTATTCTGTAGACAGTGGGTGATATCTCAGGTGAAAGCTAAGTTTGGTACATCTTTATTTCATAGCTAGAATATGGTGTGTCCCTAACAATTTCACACAAGTCAGGAAAAAAACAAACAAAAAAAAAAAAGAAAAACAGAAATTCCATGTCCAGCTTCCAAGCATAAATAAAGAACATGAAGTCACTCGCTATTTTAAAAGCTAATTACTAGTAAAATACTTTCAGATTCACATTTCCTGTGAAATAAAATTCTGCCTTTGAAATGAAAGTCTCTGGCAGAACTACTCAGCAACACCTTTCTTCCAAGCAGGGGTTTTCCTTTAGTACAGAACACACTGTTCTCTAGTCAGAAAAAGATTGATTTAATTTTAAAGGGGAGACAATGAAAGCATATAACTGTTAACACACATTTAAAAATACATGTGCCACATCACCAAAGAGACATAGATGCTGGTGAGCTCTTTTGTTTTTGTAAGTTTTATGGTGAAGAAATAAAATATGTAAAGATATCCAGCTTAGTGTCTGAAATTGAAAATAACAAAGAAATATTCGACTTCTTTGTTATTTTCCAAACAATCTGCCTTTGGACTACAAGTTGTAGGAGACCTTCATATCAACAAATTTCAGCTCATTTGGAAAAAGACTCCAATTGGTTCAATGACTCAATATTTTTAACATTGATACTTTTCCTATATATATACTATCAGTTCTTCTCAAAAAGCTAGATTAGTTAGAGAATAAGAAGGAATATGAAGAAAAAAGATCATTTCCAGTTGTACAGCCCAAATAGTAAACATCACTTCACTAAGTTGAATATATTGAGTTTAAGCATATAATTCTTCAGCTTCAAATGTTGGTTTCTCTACAAAATTGTACAAACTGTTAAATTTTTACAAATCATTTGGTGTCAAGAAATTTTTTAAAAACCGTTCTCTTCTTTTCTCCACTTCGCAGTAAAAAAAGGTGGAAAGAATAGTCCTCTCCTGCCCTCTCCATTTCCTCATCTCTGGTTTACTCTTTTCATTTTGGAAAAGTGTTATACGATGTTTAAAATCTAAAAAGGTATAGAGGCCAGGCATGGTGGCTCATCCCTGTAATTGCAGCAGTTTGGGAGGCTGATGCAGGCAGATCACTTGAGGTCAGGAGTGGAGACCAGCCTGGCCAACATGGTGAAACATGTCTCTACTAAAAATTAAAAAATTACCCAGGTCTGATGGCAGTGTCTGTAATCCCAGCCACTCAGGAGGCTGAGGCAGGAGAATCACTTGAATTAATTAATTAATTAATTAAAAGATATAGAGAATACAACAAATACTCATCTACCTACCTCCAAGCTTAATAAGCAACATATTTACAACATAGTTGAAACTTTCTGTGAATGCTTCCAGATCAGATAACTCTCCTTATTGAATTTGGGCTATACCATTCCCAAGCCTCTCTTTACAGTCTTATTATTTATGTATCCTTAAACCACATGAAATATTGCTTGAATTTAAATTTGATATAAATGATGTCATAAGTTATGTATTCCTCTGCAACTTATTTGAGTCACTCAGCATTATGTGTGTGAGAATCATCTATGATATGCCTAGAGTTAATGTTCATTAATTTTCACTGCTGTATAGCATTCCACGGTATGAAGATGCCATAACATGCTCTAGATTAGTGACTACTATAAACAGCAATTTACTTCTGTGAATGGACATTAGTTATCTTCAGATTTTTATGCCACATTCTCTCCAATGTTTGATATAGTCTACTTACCTTACCTTTTTGCCAAGGCATTTAATTTGTATATTTCTCATTACTTGCATTAGTAAGCCTCTTTTTTGTGATATGTTTCTGGATATTAAGTTTTCTCTCCTGAAAATTGTTCCACCTGTCAATCTTTTTGAGGGAGAGGTTTCTTGTTTTGTTTTGTTTTTTTACTTTTAACATTGTCAAATTTATCAAGCCTTTTATTTACGATTTAATAAATTCTTCTTTACCCCAAGGTCATAAAGGTATCTTCTTATATTTTTCTTCTATAGCAATTTTGCCTTTCAAATTATTCCACTAAGGATTGATTTTTGTATATAAAGAGCAGCAGGGATCCAATTTCATTTTGTTTTTCCCTGGAGGACAGTGAAATGCCCCAGAACCATTTACTGAATAGCGTATCTTGTGTCCACTGGTCTGCGATGCCCTTTCAGACATAAATCAGTTTTCTATATATGTGTAGGCTTCCTACACCTTCCTTCTGGAAGGAAATTTCTTATTTTTTAAAATTGAATTGAATCCCTTAGCAGTTGTTGCTAGAAGGGTCAGTGGTATTAATCTTTCTTAGAAATGTATGAAAATATTTGCCTTTTCTTGAATGACATTTAAGTGGATATACAATCTAGTTTCCCCCAGCATTTTGAAGATATTTCATTGTGATATTGGTATCTATGATCCCAGAAATGGTGCATGAAAAGTCAACCCTTGATTTGACTTGCTCCTTTATACATGATCTCTCTTTCCTCCTCTAGCTTTGAACTTTTTTTCCTTTATCTTAGATGTTCTTCAATTTTAATATAAAGTTTCTAGATGCAGATTTTTTTTATTTCTCCTGCTTGGGGTTCTGCATGACTTTTCCAATTTAGAATTATTTTTAAAAGTTTTAATCATTCTTTTTATTATTGCTTCCCACAAGTCTCTTTATTTTCTCTTTCCAGATGTTATATTAGTTATATTTTTACTCTTCTCATGTGGTTCCCATTTCTCTTCTTTCTGCTTATCATATTTTCCGTCTCTTTGTGTCTTTGTGATGCATTCTGTATAGTTTCATCAGATATACTTTACATTTCTCTAATTTTCTTTTTGTCTGCATCCACTCTTGTTTAATCTGTCTATTGATCTTTATTTTAATAACTATGTCTTTCATTGTTTAAAATGTCTGTATGCTTCATTTTTATAAATCTTTGTGTTCCTTTTTCCCAAAAAATAAGTCCTGCTATTGAATTAGGAATCTTACTCCTTATTTTCTCCCTTTCAACAATTTTAATGTCTATTTTAAAGACTCTGAGATACTGTACTATTCTGTTTTAAAGTGTCTCTCCAATGCAAGTAAGTCTCCTCAGTGCTTTGAGTTTTTTTCTTCTGAGCTTGTCTCAGCACCATTGTCTACTGTGGCATCTCTGGGTTCTGCATTCAGGAGATTCAATTCCTGCCCATCATCCAGGGCAGATGGAGCAAATCTAGCATCTTATTCAGGCCAGTCAGCGAAGTTTTTTTGGGTCACTGACTAGATAGCCCATTTGTTGGTCTTGACTCCCCATTAGACAGGGAAATTATAGACTTGACTTTGGCCCTCAATGGGTTTCATAATCCTGCTTACTAAAATATGTTTCCTGTCCTGGAAGCTGAGTGCACATCCTTGACTCCCTTATATTCACATCTGATATGCCCACCTGAGATGCTTATCACCACCTGTGGAGGTCTGTCCTGTAGACCTTGACTCAGCAACAGATGAATAAATGCATGTACATACCCCAGAATATGGTGAATCGAGTGGGCTAGGGATAGTCGTCAGCTGCTTTCAGAGGGTGATTGCAGCTAACCTACCATCACTCTCTGTTCTTTTTCACATTTATTCAGTATAGATTTCAAACAGGTTCTAAGTCAACATGCTTGTGGATAATTAACATGGTTCAAAGAGTGGTTTTATGAATGACAAAAGCTTTTGATTCCAGGGCCCAGAACAAACACCATTAACAGCTAATTCCTCTTCAACCTCCCTCTGAGAGGACCATCTAGCACAAAGTTTACATGAGTAAACAATTAGAGTAGAGACAAAGGAATGTGAGGTAAACAGACTTTAACTGAGGAAGCTTTTATTATCCCTAATCTTCACCTTATGACCTAAAGCTCTGACATAAGAACTGGCTGCCTTCAGCCTGTTCCATAAGTCAATAAAAACTTTTCAGCCTTACAAAATGTTTGAGACTACAATCTTATAACTTACCTAATAGTTACCTTAATATTTTGGCAGCCATCCCAAGTGAATCTTAACTTTCACCCTTGGGAAATCCATTCACTTATTTGGGATAAATAGTAATATGCAACTGTATCAACTTCCATTCACTACTTCAGCCGAATTCCCTCCTCGATTCTGGAAACCAGAGAGAATACCTTAGAATTCTGCTAAATACCTTAGAATTCTGTAGTTTAGCCACTATTTCCACATGTCTAGATAGAGAGTGAACATTTGTCAACCATTCCTAAATGGGAACTCTCCTTCCTTCCTTTCTTCTTTCCTCCCCACTTACTCCCTCCCTCCCTCCCTTCCTCCCTTCACCAGTCACCAGTCACCATCTTTTACCTCTGTCTCATTCTCATGGCCTTTCTTCTCATTTTTTGGTGCTATCTTCTTTCTCTGTTCACAACACAAATTATCATGGCCTCTAAGCTTCTGACCTTGGCCCTCTTATCTTCATTTTCTATGGGTATACACTTAAGAAATTCATTCAGATCCTTGGCGTATATTCATTCAATTCTTTGGCAGAGTAACATCCTAATGACAAACAAATCCAGCCCAGATCGACCCACTGAGCTCCAATTCCATGCATTTACTTCCTACTGCATATATGGGCACCTACGAACCTCCCATGCACTCCCATCACAACATACCCAAAACAAAGTTATAATTAGCCTTGTAAAAATATTTATACTTACTCTTACATTTCCCTTCCCTTTGAGTGACACTTTCATCTATCTTCTCAGTCACCAAAGCCAGAAACCTGCAAATGCACCCTTCCTCTCAGTAGCTATATCCAATCGACAATATTCTACCCATTCTGCCTATTCTATCCATTTGGCAATTCTCAAGTCTATCTTCTCTTCTCCATTTCCACTGTGATGGCCTGAGTCCCAGTCTTGAGTCCCTCTCTCTTGGGGTGCTGTGACAGTGTCAAAGATGATCTTCCAACTTCCCTTCAGTCTCACCTGTGTGTCTCATCACAGACAAGAACTATATCATGAGATTTTCTTATTTCCATTGTACCAGGAAATCACCAAAAGGAACTTCAAAATATCATGTGATCATTTGTGGTCCAAGATGACAACTGGATAACAGTCCAAGATTCAGCCTTTTTCAACTTTACACTGAAACATACATGACACACACACACAAAGAATGAAAACAGACTGTCAGAACGGTCAGGCATCCTACCACATACAGCCAAGCTATGGGAGGAAATTTCACTAACAAAATTTACAAAGCCAAAATGAATATCAAAATTCATGATGACACTGAGTCTCACTTTGAGTCTTGAAGAAGAGCACATGCAGGCCTTCATGGTAGCAGAGAAAAGCATTGTTTGTGCACTCCATCACCTTCCTTGGGGCTCCAGAACCCAGGGTCATCATGAACCAGGCCACCAGGTAACCAGCCTCTTCTGCAGATAGTAAGTTTTGATACAACCTGAGCAGGATTTGCCCTGCTTCCTGCCAACAAAACCCTTGTCCCCACCTCAAGTAGATCAGAGCCAAAAACCTCTATAGAGTAAGCGGAACAGACATAAGAAGGACACTAAGAACTGAGCTGTTCTCCCTGTTAATCTGTTATCACCTCATCAGAGTAGAATTCCAGCTGAATTCTAAACTAAACAAAAACTTACTAAAATTCAGATCAAGGCAACCTTTCCTAACACATTCTGTTACAGAATAAAGTCCAAATTGCCTTATATAGCATTCGAGACTTACTCTATATATAGGCTCCATTTACCTTTATCACCTACTTCTCATATCTCCAAACATTGCAAACACCAGCTACACAGTATTATTTAATATCTTTTAAAACATCCTTTATGCTTTCCTACCTTTGTGTCTAGGTTTCCCTTGTTCCTTCTACCTAGAAGATACTCTTCTTCCTCTTTAAGCTCCCTAAAATCTTTATTACTATTATTATTATAATTATTATTACTGAGATGGAGTCTCCCTCTGTCACCCAGGCTGGAGTGCAGTGGTGCAATCTCAGATCACTGCAACCTCCACCTCCCAGGTTTAAGCGATTCTCTTGTCTCAGCTTCCTGAGTAGCTGGGATTATAGGCATACAACAAAACACTCAGCCAATTTTTGGATTTTCAGTAGAGACGGGGTTTCACCATGTTGGCCAGGCTGGTCTTGAACTCCTGACCTCAGGTGATCTGCCTACCTCAGCCTTCCAAGATGATGCTTCTCCATTATTAAAAATCCACACTTCAAGGTCCAAATTCTTCCCCAAATCTTCCAAAATCCCTAAATTGAAATTAGTATCCCTTTTCACTGTTCTTCTGTAACATTTTGTTTGTATTTCTATTTTAACACTTATCATTTTCTGTCTTAGATTGATAACTACAACTTTGTTTCTCCCACTAGACTGTGAATGTTTTTCATCTTATTAGCTAACACATACCACAGTGCCTTCTGTATCAAAGATAGGCATAGACATGTGTTGCATCAATTGGAGGTGAGATGAAAATGAACTACAGAAAACTTCTTGCTCAGGTCTCAATTTTTACTGTTTCATTTTATATTTGTATTTAAAACAATAGCCGGGTTTTGCCACTAGGCCAAGCAGCAAGCTGAAAAGGAATGAAACCTTGAATTTCCTTTGCCATTTTGAAGAGGAAATCCATAGGTGACACCTTCCCTGACAAAGGAAAGACGAGCTAAAGGCCACAAAGGTTGGGGGTGGGGGGCCATGAGGTCATAGAACAAAAGGAAATCCCATTTTTGAATCGCTACAAGATGGTCACATTGCTGATCTCTCCTGCTGCAATAGAGCAATAAAACATGTCCTGATGTTACAGCAGTGGGAAAAGCAGGATACAATTATCAATGATCAAGGTGCTCATTGGGGCCATCTCAATTTTCTCCTATTTCATTCTTCCAACCAAGTGATAGAAAATTGATGTCAGTTCCAAAGCCAGTTATGTATTTGTGGCACAATAGCGAATTCGAACATCTTTCACGGTTAATTCCTAATGAGCCGACACTCTATGTGAAGGTTGCTGTTCACTTGTATAGTGAGTCACCCTTGTGCTTAAAATACTAAGGAAAACTTGTCCCTTCTTATTGGCCTCAGGGATACTGATTCCATAATGGTTATAAAAGACATAGAAGTTGTGTTTTGCATGCCCTTTTCTACCAAATTCAAAAGCATACTTGCTCTTGCTTTTCAGTCACTGACTCAACAAACGGTCATTGAGTTCTTGTTCTGCTGCAATCACAGAGCTAAGAACTAGAGCTAAAATGATGAGACACCTAACTTGATGGAACTTACTTTCCCTTGGGAGAGACAGATGCCAATAAAATAATTCCATGGGTAAGTGAAAATTTTACTGAAATCAAAAGAAGTTTTGTGGAAAGGGTATGAGAAACCATAACAAAGGGATCTTTGTTCTTCTGGAACATTAGAAGGCTTCCCTAGAAAATCTTGTACACTGAGATCCGAAGGTTGAGTTCAATAAGGATTGATGAGGAAAGAGAATGTTACAGGCAGGAGGGAAACAGCACACAGAAAGACTCTGCTGCCTGAGAAAAGATGTCTATGAACACAAATCATAAGACTTCAGCATGCTGAGCTCTCTATCTGTAGTGCTATTTAGTGGCCAAGTTCCTAGGATTCTACAATAGTATTCTATTAAAAGTTCATTATTTCGCTGTTTGGAAAGCTTAAAAATGAAGACAGTTGTATGAAACTGGGTGACAAACACAAGTCTTAGTATAAGGTAAGGCAAAAAATGATGTGAATAGCTGAATGTGGCCTGAAATTTTTCAGTTCAGGTTCTTAATTTATAACCCATCATTCTCCCTCCTTTGTCCTCACCAAGTCCAGATGCATAGTCACAGGTCCTAAATCTGCCTTTACTATGCACTTTCAAGTGAAGGCAGCACACAAAATGCCACTCAAAAAGGATTTCACTAGCAGTTTTCTGAGCATTTTGTCACTGGACTTACTGACTAAGCTTATTGAACATTTTGCTTGAGTATCTTAGGATAGAAACCAGTATTATTTTTTTAAATGATCCGCTAAGGCCAGATGTGGTGGCTCATGCCTGTAATCCCAGCACTTTGAGAGGCCAAAGCAGGCAGATCACCTGAGGTTCAGGAGTTCAAGACCAGCCTCACTAAAATGATAAACTCCTGTCCCTAAAAAATTAGCTGGGTGTGGTGGCACATGCCTTTAATCCCAGCTACTTGGGAGGCTGAGGCAAGAGAATCACTTGAACCCAAGAGGTGGAGATTGCAGTGAGCCAAGATCGTGCCACTGCACTCCAGCCTAGGTGACAAGAGTGAAACTGTGTCTCAAAACAAAAACGAAAAGATCAGCTAAGCAGAGGCTGGTGGGTTTTTATACCAGAGAGTTCCTTTCTTAAAATTTCCAAAGTTTGTTTCATTGATTCAGAGTGACTTTTGAAACCATTATTTAATTAATTTCTTTTTACCTGCTGTCCAGCATGTTCTGATTTCTACCTTGGCAGTAACAGAACATTAATCTCCTTTCATAATCCTGACATTCAGGATTGGCACAGCTTTTATTAATTCACCTTTCACTTAAATTGGTTTTCTTTTTAGCTGCACTGAATCCAACATCTCAAACTAACCATATCTATTTTTTTAGCATAATGTAAGATGGGGTCAAACCTCTACTTCTTGAGCTAGGTTTAATAAATAAAACTAATAGCTGAGATTTATTACCCATGTAGACAGCAAACTACAAAACCCAAGATGGATTGTATAATTTGCAGCTCTATGACATGTATTAAATTCCAGACATAAGATAAATAATTCATGTAAATAAGCAAATGAAGACACCCAAGAATGAAGTCTGTGGTTATCCTTTTACAGTAGATGAAATAAATGACAAATTTCATTAACTTTCGATTTAGCCCTTTTAAATACACTTTTACTAACCACTACCTAATCGAGACTGCTGTATAGATTAAATAAATTATTATCTGTCCTTAACTAGAGACATTTTAAATTAAATACTAGACCCCTCAAAAAGTGATCACTACATTTACATCTTACTTACCCTAAAGTCAGCCTACCGCTTTGAGATTTAGAGAATTAAAGTCCCTCAGATACTTTAATTTTTTTTCAACTAGGGGAGGTTGAAAAAAAAAATAGCAGGCATAAATGATAAGGTGCTAAATTTTTCTTCTTTGGTACCTGCCAAGTAGAACCCAGTGGATAAAATATGGAGTAAGTGTCGAATGTTGCTTACACTTCTTATATACCTAAATTAGTGTGCCTGACATAATAATTCAACCAAACAAGTTTTTCAACTGGCAAGACAGGGATTTAAAAGTCCACTCATTCATAGGGTGGCTTCATGGTTTAACTAGATTTGAAGAAGCCAAGATAGTTCTGAGATCCTCCGAGGAGGAGGTATAAGGAATAATATGGTTTTTCAGATCCTTTAATGAAGACCTATGCCCATCTCCTCTTCCACTAGGATATTCCTGCCTGGGATCAGAGAGTGGCCAGATTTCTAAGCCATCGAGAACAGGACCTGTGACCAGGTGGTATGGATTTCCAGCCCCAGGGATCCAAAGATAAGGCCTTCCAGGTCTTCCGTAGCTCAGAGACTGGTGCTAAGTGCTTGGCACTGGACACAATGCTTTGGTCAGTTATGTTCTGAGTGTCTACAAGGCAGTAGACTAGGCTCTTCTGGAATGTTCTAAAGGCAAAGACAGTCCCTGCTTTCCAGATTTACAAGTTTGTGATGAGAACAGTGAGTATCTGACATGATGTTTTTTAATTTTTAAAAGAATTCATATTATTATCCCCATTTTACAGATGACAAAACAAAGGAACAGAAATGAGAGTTTGTGATTTGTCAGGTGCAGCCTTCACCTAACTCTCCACCCTGCTGTTTACAGAGCTGCAAAGAGACTTGCAACTGAAGATTTCTTTGGGGTTAAATGTTCTTCTCACAGGACTGAAGGTTAGCTAACCTTTATCAGGTTTGAATTTTAGAAATTCTCAGGTTATTTGTTTAGAAGTGCTGGAATAATGTCAGTTCTAGGTATAATTTCTCCTAAGTAACCATACTTACTTGGGATAGAATCAGCTGAGCTGGTGAGGTTTCCACAGGCACTGTAATTAACTGCAATAACCAAGGAGTCCCTCACTACATACTGTATTAAACCAGTCTTGGAAATTTTTTTGTGAAGATTGGAAATGAGGTAACGTTTTGTATGCAAATGTGCTATTTAACCTAAATAGAGTGAAGCAAAAGTTTTATATGATCTGAATAAAGGGAAGTTTAGGGGAGTCGATGGGCGTCTTTGAGATCCTTCCAGCAAGTTTGCATCCACAGCGATCTGGGGGCTACTCCCTAGGCCTAGAGATTAAGTCACCCTATTGCAGCTCCACCCCGTCCTGTCCCGCATCAAATATGAAACCAGCACCTTCAATGTCAATCCCTTTACTCAGGTTTTTTTTTTGTTTCTTTGTTTGTTTGTTTGTTTTTGTTTTGTTTTTTGCCTTCAATTATTGGTGTGTTTCCAGGCTGGCAATTTCTGCAGCACCCAGTCTGGGTTATCCGAAGCAAAAAGGAAACCCAGGAAACTCACATCTGTGTCATTTACTGTGTCTCAAGGTCCCTGGAGGCTTTGCTTTCTTCTCTCCACCTTTTAGACTTTTCTGTTTGTTTTACATATCATGCACGTTCAGGAGAAATAGCGAAAAGTGAATCCACTCCATCTTTCCAGAAGTGGTAGTCCTCTCAACCTTTTTAAGAATTGTGTTTATGAATATATAAGCCTCTTTAAGTGCTTTAAGTTCAGCAGCCTTAAGTACATTCACAATGCTGTGCAATCATCACCATCATCCATCTCCTGAACTTTGTCGTCAGCTCAAGTGGGAACCTTATACCCATTCAACACTTCCTCATTCCTTTCTCCCCTTAGACCCTGGTGACTCCTACTTTCTATTATCTATGAATTTGCCTATTTTAGATATTTTATATAAGTGGAATCATACGGCATTTGTGATGAGTTTATTCCATCATAGCATAATGTCCTCAAAATTCATCCATGTTGTAGCATACGTCAGAATTGCCTTCCTCGTTAAGGCTGATATTAGACTGTGAATATAGTGCATTCTGTTTGTCCATTTAGTCTATTGACAGACACTTGTGTTACTTCCTAACTTGCCTCTTTAGTGCTGAGAGGGGAGAGTGGAAGTGCATGAAGCTCTTACCTTGATTTCCCCTACTCCTTTCTCTCAGTAGTCAAGGCAGAAGAACAGAGAGAGCCTGACTTTTAGGACGTGAGTCCTGGCATCCTGGATCGATGTTCAACCTACTTTCCTTTAAGAAGACTGATAGAGGCGACGTCATATCTTACGTGATTGGCAGACTGGTGCTTACTGACTTAAATAACCTTTCAATATGGATTCATTCACAATGTAATCTGATGCTTTTTAAATGCCAAAACTGAAAAAAAAAAAAAAAAAGGGATATTGTGAGTCTGGGCACATCTCTGCTCCTCCAAGCCTCATCAGTCTACCAGAGCACAATCCTACCCTGACTGCCTGGTGGTGTCACTGAGCCCCAGAGAACCGGCCATCCAAAACTGCAGGGGAAAACAAATCCAGGAAAACTCTACAACACATGAATGTCGGTGAATGCCTCTGCACCAATCACATCTTGACTGAAGCTACGATGAAGGTGTCAAATCCCATAGTTCAGGGTACCAAATCAAAAACTTGCTAAAAGACTGTGGACCCTGAAGATGTGAGAACAGTGCGGCTCACTGATAGGAACTTGGACACTGTAAGGCAAGCATACATCTGCATCCTGATGTGCACTCGGTGTTCCTCAAGGGTTGAGTTGATGTGGACGGAACTTCTTGTGGTAACTGCCATACTCCTACTCAAAAGTGAACCCTCCACAAATACTACCTGATCTGTTGTGATCATTCCTAGTGAAACAAATAACCTCGGTTCCTTCGCAAAGTTGAAAATTTGCAGTTTCACTGCCACCAGGGTTTAGGGTTGGTGGTTTTAATTCAAGATGTTAAATATTTTAGGGTAGGAGACTGTTTTGTTTTCCCAAAATACTGTGATGGACTATATCACAATAAATGATGGACTCTGAGATCTTTAGAGCCTAGCTCTGCCATATAGTGATGGGCTCTGAGATTTTGGAGCCTGGCTCTGCCATATGGTGATGGACTTTGAGATTTATAGAGCCTGGCTCTGCTATAGTAGAGTGATGGACTCTGAGATTTTAGAGCCTGGCTCTGCTATACAGTGATGGCCTCTGAGGTTTTAGATACTGGCTCTGGTTTCCTCTGTTAATTCTGTTCACGAAAAAAATTAGACATGGCATTCTGAAAGATTTGAAGATCAGGAGAAGTCTAATCTTCATTTATACAAAAATCTGGAGACGAAACTGCTGAGAAAGGGTGCTTGGTCCCGTTCCAAACACTTGTAATTGTTGAATAAAATATAGCAAATACAATAACATTAAAGCCAGGATTAGAAGATAGAGTGGGAAATCACTAGATAGAGAAACAATTCAAACCTGCAGTGGAAATTAGGTAATGAGGTTGAGGCTATCCACAGGGCCACAAGGCCCCCATTTGAGTCCAGGGCCTGAGGAATGGAGGCAAGTTGAGATTTTAATACCCACCTGGTTCCGACAGATCCCATCTGAGTCAGGGAGCTGGAAGGCTAGGCTATAGCCAGAAACTTTAAGGAACTGTCAAATACATGAAGGAGAGACTAGAAGTTGGTATAATCATCATCATCATCATCATCATCATCTACAAAATCTAGATCCTTTTGCTCTGGAAGAATTGGATGGCAAACTTTGAATTCAATTGGAAAAGGCCTCAGGAAAGGATCTCTTGGCACGAGAAAATTCCGAATCTTTACTAAGCAAAGACACGTTTGACCTTTGTCTGGGTCATGCATTTGTCTGTTTTCTAAAAGTTAGGATTAATTGAAACAAGGCAGATTAAAAAAATCAAGTTATGAATTTTTTCTGATGCACATGAGTTGGATCATCATCATCATCCACATTGTCAGTGCTCATTAATATGACAGTTATAGTTCTCTAAATGTGATCACTGAAACTCCATGATACATTTCTTATAAACAAATTGTAGGAGTGGCTTTCTCCAAAACAACATTTACAAGACAAGTCAGTGAGGCTCAGGCAAAACTATTGTATTACTAATCAACCTGTTCTACTTCATCAATAAAATGATTAAGAGCACTTAACATTGTGATATGGTTTGGCTGTGTCCCCACCCAAATCTCATCTTGAATTACAGTGCTCATAATTCCTTCATGTTGTGGGAAGGACCCAGTGGGAGATAATTGAATCATGGAAATGATTTCCCCCATACCGTTCTTGTGGTAGTAAATAAATCTCATGAAATCTGATGGTTTTATAAGGTGAAACCTCTTTTCAGTTGACTCTCACTTTTCTCTTGTGTGCCACCACGTGAGACGTGCCTTTCAACGTCCACCATGATTGTGGATTGTAAGGTCTCCCCAGCCAAGTGGAACTGTGGATCCATTAAGCCTTTTTCTTTTGGAAATTGCCTGGTTTGGGGTATGTCTTTTTCAGCAGTGTGAAAACAGACTAATACACCTGTTTGCAGAAATCATCAATCCAAGCCTTTGATTTCACTGTCAGGAGCCCTGTATGGGTAAAACACATCTACAGCCTTACTATAAATCTGAAGCTGTTAGACTTCTTAGAAGTCATAGCATCATGACCAGTCCATAATGGTTCCACAGTAACCATGAAAGGCATTATTCTCAGTGGAATAATGGCCTTTATTATTCTAGTGGGAATAGCATAATGCTGCTGACATGCTCATGGGCTTGTTTTCTCAACCATTATTCTTCACGTATATTCACTTCTGAAGTCTACATGCACTATAAGCTCTTGTTATGGAAACATCTTTCTCACTTCCTCCTGTTAAATGGAGACTTTCATTTCTCTTCTCCTATATTATCCTAGCAACAACAATAATGCATATTACTGGATATACACTAGGACTTGTGCCATGTGATCTATCACATTATCTCATTCATTGTTGCAGATGAGGGGAGAGAGACTCTGTGAGCCTATGTAACCTCCCAATGCCATAGATCTAAAAGAAGAAAGAGGGCTTTTGGGTCCAGGTATGTTTGACTGTGATGATGCCTATAATCATGGATGTGCTTCCATCCAACATAATTGCTCTCTGTGATAGTAAAAGCCAATACTAAGAATAGAGAAACTCATTGGCAATATATTCATACTTTAATTATGAGAACATGCAGTGTACATTTATAACATATTCAATAATGACATTAACCTAATAGGAAGAGGGACTAGTATTTATTGATCATATACATCTATTTCTGTGGCATATATTAGATACTTTCATACACTACATATGACTTAACTCTCATAATATTACTAAAAAGTAGCTATTCTTATGCCTGCTTTACAGTTGAAAGTATTCCAGCTTAGGCATTCAGGATGGTTTGGAAACCTTGGCAAATTCAGAGAGGAAATAAGTGGCGAGATTCCAGTCCAGGTGTTTGCTGCTACACCATGCTGCCAGCATGACTTTATAATGTGTACAAAACTTACTTACAATGTTCTTTCACCGATATTCATATTCTCTATCTTGTATTGAACCCGAATCAAAATAATACAAATTTCTCCAAAAAGTAAAACTCTTAGATAGACATGCCATTGATTATAGACTATTCAGTGCTGGAAGGGACTTGGAGTTACTCATTAAATTGCAAAGGTGAAGAGGCTGAAGCCCTAGAGAAGCTTGTGTATTCAGCTAGTGACTAGTGGTGGGATAATGGGCAGTACTCCAAAATGGCAGCTAAAATTTGATTTGGTCAAAAGCCATGCCAAAATTCTTGGGTTTCCTAATATGTGAATTACTTGAAACCAAGAATGCAAAAGCTAAGAATAGGGTAATACTATCATCCAGTTTGCTTGGGTCAGTTCCAAAGCCTGTTGTTTTCATTTTATTATTAACAGCATCCCTTTTTATTCTCAAAAGTGTCCCAATTTAGTAGGTAAACTACATGGTCTAGTAGTTTCATTTTCAAGTTAATTTGAAATTTAAATACAGTTATTTTAGACATGACGTCAAGTTTTAAAATGTGACCAAGGCTATGATCCAGAAGCCTCAAATGCCCCTCCCTGCCGCTAGGACAATAAGGAAATCCCTGCATTCACAGGATCCCAAGTACTGTCTCAAAGAGGAACTAGATGATTTCATATTTCTTCTCAGTTTCTCCAGATGACAACTGGAAAATTGTTGCATAAAAATAACAATAAATAGTAAATTGAAGGAAACCAGCTCTTTCTGTATTTGTTGAATAGCTGCCGGAAATACTCAAATCCTCCTGGATTGTCCACTCTTTGTCAGGCTGGCACGGGGCTCTATGTCTGGGTCTGTGAGATAAGCTGATCCCATGTCTCATGTCACATGACTTGGCTAGTGCCTGGAGCTTTTGGGCTGCATTTTGTTATTAAACCTGCAGGAGAGATATTTCCATCATTACAGAAAGGACAAACCATCTCCTCCAGGGAATCTGGCAGGACCTTCTAACACCATCATGAAGCAGCTCCAGAAGCCAGTCATCAGCTATATGCAATTACATTCTGAAAAATTATTGGGTCATGATATGTAATTAATGCTGACAAACCGACAGTAGAATGCTGTTCATTTCCAATGTGCTCCTGACAGAGATATAAGAGAACATGTTCTAACAGGATAATTTTGTCTTTGTCAGGAACCTTCTGGTTGTAAGTAATATAAACCCACTGAAACGTAAAGGAAAATGTAGCTAAATGTTGGGGTGAAGGTGGGGATCTCAATGCCAATGGTAGAAAATGCAACTGGATCTCCTCATGAGTAGGAAAGCTCTCAGGAACTAAGTGAGCCAACACTACTTCTCTTTCAAAGAATCGACTTTATTCTCTGACATTTCTCTGCAGATTGGCATTTCTGCTGAGTTGTACACAGAGCCCATAAAGGCTTTCCCAGTGTGACTTTCCTTACTTCCTAGTTCAAATGCCCAGGCCCGCCCTCTGGACTATGGTTCTAAATTCCTAGGAGGAAACAAATCTTACTGGCTCATGAGCTAGGCACCATGTGCCAATGAACACATCAATGGTCTATGACCAGAGAACTCATGTGCTACAAAAATGGGTCCTCTGGAACCTGCCAAAACTCTCAAGAAACCCACACATGGATAGAGTCATGTGCATTTTTATTGTATGTCTCTAGTACTAAGAATGCTTATTTTCTATTTTTTCAAATACATTTGAAAATAAGTTGGGCATATGGGCACACAGAAGCATCATGTTCTGAGTAGGTAGTAATGCCATTTTAGCACACTCAACTGCACCTCTAAAATCTGTACAGAAGATTAGATTGTGTAATTCGTGAGAACCATGCCAAAAGCCCCTGACCAAGGCAGCCACCGTCCTCACAATGAGGAGGATGGCATCCTTTATTCTCTCTCCTGTCTGCTGTCATCTGGATATTTTTGCCTGAGCCCCTATTAAGGTTCTGTGCCTCCCACCATCTGTAAGCTTTCCTATCCTGCCTACACCAACACTCAGCTGCAATGAAAAATAGGGTCTTTAATAAGGGAACTGAAAACATCATAAATATTTTCCTTAGGTCAAGACCTGCTACTCAGATGTCCTTGATTTCTAAGCAACATGAAAACTAATGAAATCTTAAGAGAACAGAAGACAAAACTATATCAAGGACATGTGTAAGTTTTTAGATATTTTTATAATATTTTTTAACCTTGGTGACTCTTTTAAAAGTCATTTGCCTCAGTGATTTGTTTTATTGTTGTTCTTGTTGTTTAACCAATTAGAATTGCCTTATTGGCTATTTTTTATTGAAACAAGTGGAAGTGATTCTTAAGAATGATTTCACATACAATGAGCTAGAGAAAACAGGAGTTTTCTATATTTTCCATTAATTTATCACATTCAGCAGTTGTTTGTTTTAGTATAAGGATTTGGTTAGAACATTAAAAATGATTGCTTAAAAGATGAGAGCAAGTTGCAGTTCTTGTGAATTAAGCCTATGTTACTGTTTTTTTGAAGAATAATACTGTTTAAGATTTCACATTATTATGATTTCATATAGTTTAGAGTTTCAGTTCAAAGTCGAAAAACATCACTGATTTTCCTTTAATAGGAAGAATATAATAATTTGAAAATTTATCATAGTTTTAATAACATTTAATGTTTTATATTTAATCCAATTCATTCAACATCTATTGAATATATACTATTGACTAAAGCATAATAAAGATTAGAAAGATGAAAGAACTTATAGCTTGTCCACCCTCCTCCCCACCAGACATCCATGAGTCCATATACTAGCTGAAATGACAAAGATAAATATAATGCAAGACAAATTGCAGTACATATGAGAAGAAAGGTATAAAGCATTTGGAAAATACGGTGAAAGATTAAGGAAAACAAGGGGAGGTGGAATTTAAGCTACATTCTGGATTTGGGGTAGGCCATCTCATCAGTCTGTGTGAGAAGCATTAATTAGGATAATAGTAAAAGATTATGTATTTTTTTTAGGAGATAATTCTAGAGAGCGGAAGGAATAACTTCCCTTGACAAGGTAACCAGATGGCTTCTGAGAAGAGTTGGCTGGTGCTTACACCATAACTCTGCTCTGTCTTCCCCAAGATGCCTCAATACCATTGTTGAACACAATAATGTGAGAAGCAGAAGAAAAAAGGAGGGAATCAGACAATGGATACAGCTTCAAAGTTTAAAACATTCTTATAATCTCATGAAAATAAAAAAAGTATTTGAAATAAGTTGAAGGATCTAATAATTGTAAAGGCTGTCATTTTTCATGTTATACCATGTGGAGGGATTGACTTTATTGAAAAAAATTAGCAAGTGTATGACAAACATACAGTGGATTTCCATGGTCTACTTATATTTGCTATAAGTACTCATACCATGACTTATCCCCAGTTTAAACTATTTTCTTCTATTTTCCTTTCTTCATTTTCTTTTTCAGCCAGGTAAGCATAGTTGCATGCCCCAAAGTTGACGGACTGATGGTGCAATTTAACTGTATATCTCACACTTACATTTTAATTGGGAAAAAAATAACTTTCACGTCAAAGACTAAAAACCTAAGTGCAGAACTTCAGGCAACAGACAGTTGATAGAAGACATGATTTTTCAGATCTTTCCTGGCACTCCTAAATTCCAGGTTTACAAACTGTCATTGAGCTTGCCTGTCACAGACTTACTGCTTTTGAGATACAAGCTTCTTTGCAGACTAGGCCAACTTTGGAGGACACTTACATCAACCTTACCCTGATTTGGGGAAAATCCTTATTCCTTTCTTTTATTCTCATCTTCTCTGTGTTCAAAACCCAGGATTTTTAGAAACAACATTATAGTCCACTCAACTGTTCATTTATTTACAAACATCTTATGAATTCCCACAATTTTTTTTTTTAAGCAATGTGCTGAGTGCTGGTAAAACAAAAATAAACAAAGTGCTGTCCCTTTCCCCAGTCGCTGGAGAAGACGGTGCAATGATGTGCTATTAGTGTTAAGACAGAAGTCTGTGAGGGTTACGCTTGGGGGTCACAAGTGAGTGGTAAATTCTATCTCCAGTAATATCAAGATGTGCCCACATATCTACCGTAGCTTAATTTTTAAAAGTCTTATATTTGTACATTAGAAAATAGCATTAGAAAAATCAGTACTACAACCATATTTGGCCAGAAATCACATAATGCCTAACAAGTTCTGATTTTTATTACAAGTATTTATTATTGTTGCCCTACCATTACATTTGGCACATCTATGGGGTTTTTTTATTTCCAAAATGTTTCACTAATCTGTAACTTATTTTTACTGACAGCTTTTTTGTTGAAAAGATTTTCCTACAGCAAGGTACAAAAAGGCATTCTGGTGAGTGAAAACATTTTAAATTACACTATTTACCAAAAAGACTATCTTTATGCATTACTGTTCTATTGAAATTTTTCTTTTCAGTCAAATTCCTTTCATTTCTACATAATGCATGTCAATAACAGCTACCATGGAAAAATAACCACAAGCAAAAATTGTTTTCCTACCTGTCTTCATTTTTTTGCCACTCCTCATCTTTATTTCCATTTCTATTTGTGAAAGTTTGAGTCCCTCCTTCTTGATGCCCTTAAATCCATAATTACTTTTTATGACAATTCTTTTGACACCCACATTATAAATTATTCATTATTTTGAATGACGTCTTCATTTCAAATGCACTCTTGTACTCCTACTTTTTCTTCTGTGTTTTTCTCCTATATTATTTTTATGCCTTTAAATAATCTTGCTTTGAGACTTCTGGTATCTTTCTGTCTTTTTCTCTGAGAGATGCCCCTAGAATGCTGTTCCTACAGGGAATTTAAAAATCAAGTGATTCTGGTATTTCTTTTAGTTCACTCGTACTTCATTCCTGCTTTCTTCCTTTGCTCTTCCGGTTCCTTATATTTAGAGTGCTCTCTTTCTGCCCAGTCTAGCCTGTCCTTTGGGCACTTCCTTCAAAACCTGGTACAATATTAACTTCCTTCAGACAATTATCCTGGACTAAACGACTCCACTTTACAGTTTCTCTTGACCTCAGGGAATGTCTGTATAAACTATACATTTTATATATTTCTATACTTGTTTGTTTTTGTAATTTCATTCAGTTATTTAGCTATATATTTTGTAATATTTTATTATTTATATAATTACTACATACCCTAAGTCCTGACTTTTTTCCTTCTTACTAGTTTTAATTATAACCATAATTTTGTAATATAAACATGCAATTGGCTGCTTAATATCTGTCTCTCCTGCTAGAATACAAGCTCTTTTGGCTAATCATTTATTGTTGTATCCCCCAAGCCTAAAAACAAAAATACACAGTAATTGCTCAATTAATATTACGGTATCTTTGAAGTATCATTCAAATATTAGTGAAATGAAAGTTCTCACAAATGCTCGCTAATTTTCTTTTTTAAACACCATTTTGGCTGGAATTCTTCACACTTTTTCTAACAGGTGGGATGTATTTTGCTGTAAGATACAGAAAACCTTACCAATACAGACTTAAATCGAAAGACACCAGCTGTTCACTTAGCCATAATCCAAAGGTGGGCAGTTCTTTTTTTTTTTTGAGACGGAGTTTTGCTCTTGTTACCCAGGCTGGAGTGCAATGGCGCGATCTCGGCTCACCGCAACCTCCGCCTCCTGGGTTCAGGCAATTCTCCTGCCTCAGCCTCCTGAGTAGCCGGGATTACAGGCACGCGCCACCGTGCCCAGCTAATTTTTTGTAATTCTTAGTAGAGACGGGGTTTCACCATGTTGACCAGGATGGTCTCGATCTGTTGACCTCGTGATCCACCCGCCTCGGCCTCCCAAAGTGCTGGGATTACAGGCTTGAGACACCGCGCCCGGCCAGGTGGGCAGTTCTAAAGTTAGCTTGATTGTTCAGTGTGGTCATGCAGGACCTAGGTTCTTCCCATCCTCCTCCTTAGCCATCCGAGGTTGCTGGCTTTGTACGGTATTGCATCATAATGCCATAATGCATCATAGCCCCAAAATGGTGGCCACATTCTTGTAATTCCATGTGTAAAGCAGGAGGCAAGGAGAGTGACATCAAAAAATGGGGATATTTCCTTACTCGTCATTATCCTAGAAATCCCTCCAGCCCCAGCAGCCTTCTCCCCATTGCGATGACAAGAACTGAGTCACGTGCCTACTTCTGGACTAACCGTGGGCAGAGGGAAAGCAATGCTATTAATGTCCAATCCTGATTCATCCCAGTTTCTTTGGCAAAAATAAAGGGAAACTGCTGGGTACGCAAGCAACACTGTGCCTGCTCTTCTGCTTTGTTAAATGAACCATACTGAAGCTTGGTTTTCCGCAGAATCCTCCAGCTCTTAAGATTCTTCAGGCTTTTTCTTTTCTGTGCCTACATTTTAATCATTACGTCTTTTCTTTCATATTTTTTCCTGATTAAAATGGCCTTTTGAAACATCTACTCTCACCACCCATAGTTGTCTTTTATTGAGTTGTTTCCATACTCAGTTTCTGCATTCTTATTATTTTTCTTTTCAAAAGCACTGAGACATAGCACATTTTCAAAGGAAGAACAAAGTTTATTTTGCCCCTTTTTTTTCCATTCCACATATATACTTTAGATTCTCAACTGTATTAGGAGCCTCAGAAGTCAAGAAACCAACGTCTGCTCTCCTTACAATTGCCAGCAGCATTTCACAGGTGCTAAATGTACTTGATGTGCCCTTCACCTTTATGGTTATTAACCAGAGACAGACAGACTTTAATAGGAAGCAATAGGAATCAGGATTTTAGTCAAAAAGTGCCCGTCGCATTACAAACATCCGCTATTAATTTTTTTCTATTAAATTATCTGCACATTTGCTTCGTGCCGGTGTCAGGAAGTCCCAGAACACAATGTATTTCCCACTTCATACCACCTTTTCCAACATCTTTCACAGAAAGAAAGGACAGACTTGGGTTTCCATGGTAACACAAGTGTGATAATTGAAGGTATCTGGCTATAGGTGAGATAACTCCCTTTCAGATTCAGTGGAAAAGGAGAAATGAAGATTTTCTTTCTTTTTATTCTGGCAATGCACTTTGGAAACTAAAGGGATCCCACAGTGACAGTTAGTGTCAAGTTTTCACTATCTAGCAGATTTACAGCTCTTGGGAATAATTCAAATTTCTTTTATACCATTTTTATTTTTTATTTCCAACAAACAAATGAATGAAGATATAAGTTATTTCTATAAGCATCTCAGAATAGAGTTAATGCTGGCATAGGAATGAACATGACTAAGAGATTAGAAAATAGACATTCATCTCCCACCCAAGTCCTCTAAATTCTCTACACGTCCTTATATCCTTTTTATGGCAGGTAATCTTTCACTCAACATTTCACATACGACCACAAATCAGGTAAGTACCATCACTTAAGCCAGAACAGGTGAGAAAATATGCTCCGATCTGTCATGTTTCTTTTGCCTCATGGTGGTTAAAAATCAACCTTTATGGGTACTGAGCATGAAATCTGAGGCCTGTCAATATAAGGCCTGTAAATAAATGAGCTGTAACATCCCATGGGCTGCAATCTCTATACTCCTTCTTATCAAAAACATCAGCATTGATGAGCGGTCAGGGGAAATAGCCTGAGAAATGTCACAAAGGTGTCCTACTCTCTATTATGCTAAGTAGAGTGACCAGGGAGCCCACTCACTATTTTTGTGACAGCTTCAATTCAAAGCTTCTCAACATCTGGGGTCCTAGGAGTCATGAAAACAGTTGCTTAAGGTGACCTTCTGGACTCACAATCCCAATGCAAATTTCTCAAAAACATAAATCACTGGACCTATATTCCTTGCAAAGTAAATGGACTTGGAGCTCCTCTGTAATTCAAGGTACTAGATGGGCTGTCCTGATCTAGAGAAAAAGCTTCATGCTTCCTCGTTCTGTTTAACCCCTGACAAACCTAGGAACTTCTTATCACCAAGATGCACAATTAGAATCTTCAAAGAGACAATCTGTCTTTCCTTGGAAAAGAAGTATAGCTGCTACTAAGCTAAAGTAACTATAAATAAGCATACCATTTTTACACAAAATATGAGACTTCTGGAAAGCTAGGTGAAGACCATACTTACCTACATCTTCTTGAAACATCCCTGCTAAAGTAGCTCAGATATGAAGCATCCATGTGAGCTCTCTCAAACTGAATTCACCATTTCATATTACTAGCCTAGGATGAAATAGTAGATCCTCTTCGGTTTCAATTCCCTTAAAACAGTCGTGATTCTTAGTTCTTTCTATTAACACAATACAGTCACTGCTGATTCTGGTGGCTCAGATAGTACCATTCCTATTTTAATGATATGTAATCAAGAAATGCTGAGTTTTATTTTACTACATACACGTTTAAATTGAGAACATTTGCCCTCAATAATTTTAAATGAAAACTTGGTGCGTGTTTATTATAGCAAGGTAATGCAAATTTAAGTTATCCATTCTAATATAGCGAATCTATAGGGAAACAGGAGACTGCTAAATTTGAGTAATCTTTGTACTAGTTTGACTATCGACAGAAAAGACAGTGAAAGACTACCTGGCTTTTAATTCGGACCAAAATCCCCTTGGCATGATGACCTTGTGGGAAAGAGGAACAGGGTAGAGGTATGCCAGGCTCTAATAATAGAACTACAGAAATGTATTAGTCGCAGGAAAAGTGCGACAGTAACAAACAGGTGAGATTAGTTCGAGAAGGACATCGTATAAAGAAAGTAAACCGAATAACCAGTTACTGCAAAAAAATAATGCAGGAATGCTTGAGGATGTAATGTCTCCTAAATTTGACGTTATGAGTGGGAGGGGGTGTGTAACTAAGATGCAATGCTAGCGACAGAACGCTAAGTTTTAAAACTTAATAGTTAAAGAAAAAAATGTTTTGGAAGGCACGCCTGGAAGACTCATGCAACTGCTGCACGATGTCTCCTTAAAGACCGGGAACATTTCTCACCCAGAAGACAAAAGTCCCTGTGTTCTCGATTCAGCCCACATCCCTCAGCACCATTTCCATGCCCATCTTTTAGGCAGAATGCCACAGAGACGACGTTAAAAGTGGAATTCATCACTCTGGCTTGCAACCCATCTTGTTCTTTTGCCAGAACAGGGCACAGCAACTGGCTCCTCAATCTCTGCCCCTCCCAAACCCCAGCAGCAGGCCGGGTCTCCATCCCGCCGGCCTCGGTGGCAAGGGGCTCGCGAGCTCTGGTTGGCTAGGCCGAAGTTCCGTCATTCGCCAGCTCGCCTACGATTGGTTGGCAGAGAGTGCGCCAAACGCCCCGCCTGGCGAGGCACTGGGAGGTGGGCTTGCTGGTCCGGCGACTCGCGTTTTTCCCGATTGGTTGAAGGAGGGGAGTCACGTGGTATGAGGCGGCTCTCTTATTGGTCATGAGTGCTATCATAGGGGGCAGAGACGTGATGTGGTTGGCTAGAAGGAATCCCAGCTTCCCACTAAATGCCCCCAGCTGGCTGTTGCTATGAGGTGTCCCTGGACCTTCCGGCTACCGTTCGGGGTTCCGCTCTCCGGGTTTTTAATTCACCAGTGGCTGACAGGGCGTGGGAAGAGCTCGACTTCAGTCCGGCACTGAAAGGGGCGGGGCTAGAAGAGATGTGGGCGGGACCCGGCATACGTGGCGTTTGGCCGCTTCTGACTCGCCCTTAGGGCGTACTATTGGATGGGGCTGTCACCCTCCCATCAGTGTCCTAACGTCCCAGGACAAAGCTTCATTTTGTTGCGTTTACACAACCTCAGGCAGAAGCCTAGAGGTGCCCTCAAGGCTTCACCCGATAAAACCAAAGCTCTAGGAGTGCTTAAGAGACTGGGTGGCGTCGGGCAAAGGCTCTCCCCCTCACTCCCCGCCTCAGGGTAGAGCTTGACGGTGGCTCTACCCCCTTGACCACCTCATCTCTGCCGAATTCTGAGCGTGGAAGTCTCAGGTTGACGCCGCTCCCGGCTCGGGCGGGAACTGCGCATGCTCGGCACATAAGCCCTGGGATCCGACCGGGCGCACAGAACACGGCGCTGATGGGAGGCCTCTGTGCTTGTTTATATCCGCGCGGGCAGAAGCTTCCGCGCCGCGCAGAGCCTCCCGGGAGCCCTCGCGGCCGGTCGCCTAGGCAACGGAGGCGGGGGCGGGGCTGCGCCGCGGGCCCCGCCCCGAGCCGACGGGCCCCGCCCCTGGCCGCGCTGCGGCTGGGGCTCGGGTGCGCGCTCCAGTGCTGGGGGTAGCGGCGGCGGCGGCGGGCGGGGATCTGGGCGTGGAGGCACGAGGGGCGGGGCGGGCGGCACTGCGGGCCCGCGGCTCGGGCGGCTCCGGCGGCTCCCGCGGCTCTCGCTACCGCTCTCCGCTCGCCCTCAGTCCCAGCTGGCACCCACGGGGCCGCATCGTCGCCCGGCTCGGCCCATGCCCAGGGCCGCTGCTCCCTCAGCTGCCGCCACCGCCGCCGGCGCCCGAGGGGCCGCCGCGGCCGTGAG